GTGGAGGGGGGGGGGGTGTTTCCTTTCGCTTCCTGTCCCAGAGACACAACAGGAAGTGAGAGAAAATCTCCCGAAAGTGAAGGGAAATTCCCTCTTGCACTGCTACAGGAATGTAGAAGAGACTTTGCTGGCTGGGAGCCGGGAGGTGTTTGTGCCCAGTACCTCTGTGCTGGCGGTCCGTCCATAATGATATTGATCCAGAGGATCTGCATGGCGTTCAGGGGGTTCGGCAGGTTCATGATGGTCGATAAAGTGATGAGACTCAGAGCCGAGATACTCCTGGAAGAAGATTGGACAGGATAACGTATCATATTATAAGGGAATCGGTGAGCCCACCGTGACACCCCCCCAGCATTCTGTTAGTGCCGACCGTTCATTGTGTGTTAAAGAGGACCTGTCAGTACAGTGATCAGCTTTAACCCAATCAGAACTGTTATCTGGGCTGACGCCAGACGCAGAATCCAGAGAAACGCCACGACTGGGACTTACGTGCTGAGCTGGAAGCGGACAAAGTTTTTGATGTTGTGGAATATTCCTTTCCCTTCTTCTATGGCGTTCCTGCAATGAGACAAAGCGTTACCGTGAGTAACAAAACCCACCAGCCAATAGGAGGCGCCTCACCCGGGACAACACTGACCGCCACTGTGTCCCCCTCATCTGTGCTCCCTACGGTGTCACACCTCGGGGGCATGCACGGGTGACATAGGGCTTTAAGTGCCAAGTCTGGGGGGTGCACACAGGGAGGACGGACATGGGGGGTGCACACAGGAAGGACGGACATGGGGGGTGCACACAGGGAGGACGGACATGGACGCCCTCTAGTGGCCACAATGTGACGTCACATGACATTGAGAATCCATTGTTGTCCCGGCCGGTCCTCAGTAAGTCTCTATGACAACGGTCATCACATTCCTGACCGCGCCTCATTATAGCCGATACCAGAGGACAGGGATGACTGCAGAGTCAATGTCATTAATGGGGGGGGGAGGGGCAGCGCCTGCACTGATGATCTGTGTACACAGGAGGCGAGCGGACTGTGTACACAGGAGGCGAGCGGACAGGTGTTGTGCGGGGGCGGCGGCCATTATACTCAATTAGCGTGGAGTCCATATCCGCTCCGGGACACTAATGTTGTGTAATGGGACGGAAGTGTTCGCTGGACTGCCAGATAACCGCGTGATCCGCCGCCGCCACAGAGCAAACACCGCGCCGGACGTCAACCGAACATAATATTCCACCGCTCGTACTTCACCCTATCCCAATATTTACCCATCGCTGCAGAACATCGCTCCCCCCACAGCTATATTCTGCAGATTATTCCATCACTGACCCCTCTATAGATCTGCAGACCATTGCTCCATCCCATCCCATCCCCCCGACAGCTATGGTATATTCTGCAGATTATTCCATCGCTGACCCCTCCATAGATCTGCAGACCATCGCTCCGTCCCATCCCCCCGACAGCTATGGTATATTCTGCAGATTATTCCATCGCTGACCCCTCCATAGATCTGCAGACCATCGCTCCGCCCCATCCCCGCTATGGTATATTCTGCAGATTATTCCATCACTGGCCCCTCCATAGATCTGCAGACCATCGCTCCGTCCTCTGGCAGATACATTCTGCAGATGATTACACCTACTCACATGATGGCGGAGAAATCGTCGTCCACCAGGATCATGTCTGCCGCCTCTTTGCTGACGTCCGTTCCGGTTTTTCCCATCGCCACCCCGATGTCAGCTGACTTCAGAGCCACCGCGTCATTCACGCCGTCGCCGGTCATTCCCACAATGGCGCCGGTGCGCTGCAGAGCCTTCCAATACACAACACAGAGAAACCCGATCAGCAAACCGATACCGTCCCCAACCGAGTCCGGCACATGGGGACAGTCCTCACTTCCTGTTCTGGTGACCACACAGGAAGTCGGATACATTGTACCCTTCCTCCTCATTTATAGATATTGATCAATAATTATCGATTTCTATTCATCACCCCGAGAGGGAATGTCGGACCCCCGAGAGGGAATGTCGGACCCCCGAGAGGGAATGTCGGACCCCCGAGAGGGAATGACGGACCCCCGAGAGGGAATGACGGACCCCCGGGGGACGCCGTTACCTTGATGATCTTCAGCTTGTGCTTCGGGCTCGTGCGATAGAAGACGGAAACCTGAAAAGACACAAAAATGTCGTCATGTGCCGCCGGTGACAACGCAAACCTGACGGAGGGAAATGTGTCACACGGACCTTGGTGACAACAGAAGACAAAGACGACTCGTCCAACCGATCCAACTCCTCCCCCGACATGGCTTTCAGGTGCCCATTAGAGAGACCGATGCTCCGTCCTGGAAGAGAAACATGAGAAGTGAGGCTCCATCTCTACCGGAACCGCTGTGCCCATTATAAGGGGTTCCCACCATCCCAGCTGGCTTTTTATATAGTCTCTATAAGCCGAGAGCGACAGCGATGTGCAGCGAGCAATCAGAATCCTCTTATTGGATGAGTTGGGTCTCTGTTCTGTATATAGAAAAATCTCCAATCAGATTCCACATTGTACATGTAAAGAGAACCTGTCATCAGAGTGATACGCGGGCCGTCATTGGTGCTCTCCTTCTGAACACGCTAGCTGCCTGACAGTCATGCCGATCCTCTGGCTTCAGTCACTGGCCGGGTGTATAGATCAGGTCAGAGACTCGGGACACTGAAGCCTTTCCATTGGCTGACTGGCTGGACGGTCCCTGTGGTTGGCCGGTCTCCGGGTTTTCGCATTGGTCCCGGACCTATGTAAATACAGCCATCGTGTTCCCCGGCTCCAGCTCCGCCCCCTCCCTCAGATCACTGCAGACCCCGCCCACACTTGAGCCTAAGTAGGAGGTTACACCGCACAGAATCAGATGACAAGAGGCTGAGGTCCCACCCAGGCTGACTGCTAACCCTAGTCAGCATTGGGGGGGTTCATGGATTGCTCCCCAATATGGGGGGATCGGGGGAGGCGGAGCTTCCGGCACAGTCACCTCTCAGCCCCTGGCTCCCCATGTTCTTCTCTTCCTGAAGGTAAAGCGATTTCTGCTGCGGCGTCAGCGCCATCGCCATCCCGCCGCTGTTATACGTCGTGCAGTACTGGATCACCTCCTCCAAGGCGCCCTTCAGGAAGTAGACGTCCTCCTGGTTCTACGAGGGAAGCAGAAGGATGATTATGACCGAGAACAGAGCCAGGAGACACGTGGGGGGAGGGGGGAGGGGCAATGGAGGAGGAGGAGTTACCTCGAGATTGTCCGAGCATCTCACCGCCATCCACCTCTGCTCCGAGCTGAACGGGATCTCCTTCTTCCGGATGTAATTCTCCCGCGAATATCCCAGACCCATCTACAGGGGAAGCAGAGGATCAGGATGAGCCAGAG